GAATATCGCTGTGGTGCTTTGAACATGTATTTTTGGGGTGTAAAAAAATAATGCTATGTCTATATGTTTAATAAATCATTTTAATGAATAAACCTGTGACATGTTCTCCATTTGTTTGTGACTTCTTGACATTTGTAGACATAATAGATAAAAATACATCATATATAATAATGTGCAACCACAGGTGGGAAGTAACAAAGTACAAATACTTGTTACTGTACTTAAGTACACTTTTCAGTTCTTTTTATTACTTTGACTCCCTACATTTTCAAAACAGGTTTTTCACTTTTGGTTTAACACATTTGGGTCAAAGTATTATTTTGTTACTGCCAGCTTTCAAACATCAAATCAATTCGAGCCTGAACAGAAGCACATGAAAGGCAATCTTGTTCGATGTTGCATAAAAAGAAATGACGTGTTCAAAGTCAGGGGTTAAAAGTAGGTATTTTGTTGTTTTTGTTGTTGTTGTATTGTTCTGTTTTTGTTTTGGTCTCAACAATGGAACGACTGCAGATGTCCGTGGTTGCGGTTAAGGTATTTGAGCATCTGACTAGCGTTACAGAAGAGGAGCAAGCATAAAGTGAGTGACTTGTTTTTTAAGTGTCAGGTAATTTCAAATGCAGCGTTTCAGTCAGCTCAACAAACATCAGCAAACACACAAACTGTTTGTGGAGTTTGTCTCACAGTGTGTTGCTAGCTAAAGGTCCAGCTGCTGTATTTCACATGTAGAAAAACTAAAGCTAACTTCACTCAGAGATGAAGAAAGATAAGAAAGACAGGAGAGGAAGAAGAGAACTTAGTTTTAAAGGGAAGGACTCCTCATATAAAGCTTACGTGTAAGTCCTCATGTTTTTAAATGTTGGGTCTGTACATGTGACATTATGTTTTTTCAGTATATATATCATGGTGCAAAACAAACTGAGGTAGTATAACTGTGTTATTTAAAGGCTGCATGAAAATCCTCGAAGGTTAGTGCAGGATCTGTACTGTGATGGACTTAGAGAACAGTGTGTGACTGGTGCACAGTGGCTGCGGTTTCATGGTCAGAGTAAGGTTGTATCAAGTTTAGCAGAGATGAATTGAAGTTAAGCTCATGATGCTTAGATTCATCCACTGAATTCTACTTTCATACAAACTTTATACCATCTAAAAAAATACAGCATAAACAGTGTAGAGGATGCAAATCAGGCAGGACAACTCATGAAACATCTGCTCACATCCACAAAGAGCAGCCGGTCG